GCTTAAAGTTTAGGGTTTAGGGTATAGAGTGGTAGGAACAGAAGCCGACTGATCACATTATACGTAAAGGACCCCTCCACATATATGTATATATATATATGTGTGTGTGTGTGTCAATTTATATGTGTATGTATATATATATATATTTATTTATTAACACACACACACATGTATCTGTATATATATATATGTATACACTTGTGTATATATATATATAGATATATATATAGATATATTAAGTAAACATATATATATATATGTTTATTTATATATGTATGTATACACACACAAGCTTGTTGGTCGGTCTGAGCCATGTGCAGGGATGAGGTCATGAATGTGAGGAAAGACAGTGGTTAAATAGGGGCGTGTCTCCAAAAACAAACCCCCGGGCCCTGCCTGGACCTGCTGGTCCATATTTACCGTGAAGATCGGCACCTCAGAGAAAACTTCCGCTTCCTTCCTTGCCAAGGAGAGTTTCTTGTCAAGATGCGCTCGCTTGCCGAATCATCCGCTGAAGGTCTGCAGCCGTAGTGTAGGCAGCCCTTCCTGGACGGAATGGCTTGTCAGGGTGAACACGAGTACATGGCAAGAGAGGACGAGACTATGATCTGAAACCTAAACCCTGAGTCGCAGCAGAAGCGTCTTAGCTGGCTTAGCCGCAGAAGGTTCCGCTGCCGATGCAAGCTCATGAGCCAGCTGGAATGCAAGAACTTGGCCCCGACATCTGAGAAGGTGTAGGCAAGCTGCTCCTTGGGAGCAGAAAACCGAGGAGCACAACATCCAGAAGGTCTCAGTCAGCTTTTGGCCATGACACTGTCTGCCAAGAGTAGAGGTTCAGCTCTGCACCGATGTAGATGACACCATAAAACCCCGCCAGGAACACCTCCGAACTGAACAAAAACTACTGAAAACAGAGCAGCAATTGAAAAAAGAGGCCCAAAAGGCCGAACGAAGCAGGGCCAGTCGCCTGGAAGAGCACGAGAACGCCCCATTCCTGGAATGATGCGACAGCACCGGGCCCTTCCCCAAAGGCCCTTGGAGAAGCCAAGCTTCGCCACCGCCATCCCGATCCCAGTAGATGAAGCATTGCACCAGCCTAGAGAGTTGAGCACGAAGCAGTGAATCCATCAGGTACCCAGGGCTTGGCGCGACTTGAAGCTGTGCCACACACTTCAGCCGGGAATCTGTTCTAGAGCAGCCACGGCATAAGCGGAGAAGGATGCCTTACTGCATCGTAAACCCTTTCATTACACTCGCTCTGTGACGACGTCGACTTCCCTTCTTTGCCAGGTCTGTCGCAACCAAGCCACGCAAAGCAAGAACCAGCGCGTAAACTCAGGGTGCACACATGAGACTGTGCGGCTCTCTCGGCCTGCCGCCTACTGTTCTGGCGCCGTGCGGGCCTCATCTTCCACTACCAAAGCCAGCCAAGAGGACCAGATATAAATAAAGGTACCTGATGAGCTTGCAAGTTAACAGTCCCTGTCATGCGACGGGATATGGATCGTCAGAAGCGGCCAGGGCACATCGTGCAGAAGGTGCGAGCGGCATTCTGGAAATTCGGTTGCCAACCGCAATCGGAATGTTTGCCAACATGTGCACCTTGAACTTGGAAGCAGCACATGGGCACATGCGAAACACAGCTACTGTATCTGCAGCCCAGTGGTGTGTCCAGCCTGCTGCACAAAAGCACTGCGCTCTCGGGCTGCCGGGGGTTCGAAGGTCATGTCGTCGTCACCTTCTCTTGCATTCGAGCCGGTGGTCTCACTTGGACTTGCCGGAACGGTCTGTCGCGGCTTCAATGAACTTCTGGAGACCTAGTGGGCTACTGACTCGGCTTGACAGCGACAAAAGGCAACCGAAAGCGCTAAGTCTTTCTTCTAGCTGGCCATTAGCCAAGCACCAGCACTGCCTTTAAAGCACATCTTCTAAACTGCCGGTTGCATATCCGCCCGGCGACGTGCTGAACAAGCAAAAAAAGTATGCCAGATGGTTCTGACAGACTGGGCCTCTCTCTGAAGCCGGATCGCAAGAGAGGGCCAGAAGAAGTGACATGCAAACTCCCCACCTTGGAGGTAGACGAACGAGGCACTCGCTAGGGAAGCATGCTGGTGTTACGCCAAGTCTCTCGACATAGCGAAGGGTAAACACTGGACGCGGTCCACCCACAGCTAAGGGATCTGTGTGTACCCACCTGTGCTAGCGTGGCCAGGCACAGAATCAGAACCTTCAACTAAAGCTGCCAGTGTGCTCGGTCGGCTTCAGCGCCATCTTGAAGTAGGAAAGTGATAGCATGGCATAAACCTGAGGGCAGAACGTGCTTGAGACTACGTATCAATCTTCGAGTTAGAACAACAAGGACTTGACTTTATGATGTTCGCTCGAACGATTGAACCATAAGCTGACTGCAGTAATGCTTACCTCGTCGCGGCAGCTATTCGTCGTCGTTGCGGCGCCCCGTCGGCTACGAGTGTTTGCGTTTGGATTGTCCCGGCCCATGTGGTGGTGACCCCACCAGCCGCCACGGATCAAACCGGCAGCGTAGCTCTACTGCTACTGCTACTACTACTACTGCTACTACTACTACTACTACCACCACTACCACTACTACTACTGCTAC